TAATATAGAACTAATGTAGCATTTTCATGTTTCCGCCATCTTGTCAGTGGCAAAAGTTGGCTTCACTTCGGCCGGCAAGGCTTCGCGGGAGCTTCCACTCCAGCAATTTTCGCTATTCTTCCTTGGGTAAAAGTTTAAGCAATTGCTCGATGCCCAGCCATCTTGAACTGGTGGCTGCGTTTACACTTCTGTACATTGTCAATCAAAGGGTGAAGAATGCGCATATATGAGGTGCAACATCACTACGTAAGTATAAGGCGGTGTGTTTCTTTACTAGAAAATACATTAAATACGTCACTTAAGCACCCTAGTGTTTCTTACGCTGCGCTGAAATTAAGACGCTAGGCACAAAAAAGGGTCTGCCGATGATATGGTGCGGCCACTTGGCAGTGACTCTGGGTTCTACACAAGCTTATGTCACCCGACGGCACTGCCAAATGGCTTTCAAACTTTTGTCTTTCTCTTCCAGCTCAAAACTAATCCTTAACTTCGGCTTCATTTCGAGCAACAAACTCGTTTTCGCCGACATACTTACCAAGTTTCAATTATCAGACTTATGCACCGTGCGTGCTCAGAATAGGAAGGTTTCTGTCATGCCATGCTGGGTCTTCTGCAGACGTTTAACAGCAGCAGTGAAATTTGGTACCTACAAGAGAAACTTGACGAACAACGAAAAGCATCGGATGTCAATTCCCCCATTTCTCGAAAAGTGTCAATGTAGGGAGAAGAGCTTATCTTTGGGGCAAGATGGGTAGTTGGGCCAGTTGTATTACGTTCACAATTGTAAATTTTGTTGAAGCGCACTATATAAGAAAAAACAGACGGACAGAAGAGGCTGACAAGGACAGCGCTATTATTGTTTAACAGCAGTGAAATTTGGTACCTACAAAAGAAACTTGGCGAGCACGCCACGCAGGGAATGTCGATTCCACCATTTCTCGAAAATTGCCAAATTAGGTAGAATAGCTTATCTTTGGGGCAAGATGGCACGTTTGGCCGATTAGATTACGTTCATAATTGAAAATTTTGTTTAAGCTCACTGGAAAAAAAAAAACATACGGACAGAAGAGGCTGACAAGTAAATCACTTTACTTGTCAGCCTCTTCTGTGCATCTGTTTTTTTTAGTGCGCTTCAGCTAAATTTTCAATTATTATTGAGGGCCTAGACGCTATGATGGATTGCGCACAAACTTGGTTTTCTGGATCGTTTTTCAGCAATGGCAGCTGCAGTTCAATAATTGCAATAACCCTAGGTTGAGCTGATAAAAAGTGTTAATTTTAGGGTACGTTTTCTTTGTATTGCACAATATTAATGATAACTAACAGACGATAATGTCAGGAAAAGTGTAGAGCGTCTCTTATACTTCGCAAACGATTGTTGTTTGTTAGTTGCTATTAGTTCTACGCTGGGCTTATTGTTGTCCCACAAACCATGTAAACTGACTCGCTATGTGCTCCCGTATAGACTGCGGGGTCTGTTATACTCATGAAGACACTGCTTGTCTTGACGTACGAAGCAAAGCAATTCCATAAAGGAGATGTAATGAAACTTTAAACTTTGCTGATTTTTTTTCATGGTAAATGCAGAGTTCATTGAGTCCAGTTTAACTTCAAGCAATCAATATCGTAGTTATTGATTGAATACAGGAATTTCGTGTGTGTTCTATTCCCATAACAGAGATACTCGAAGGCTTGCAGCAATTGTGATTTGTACATCGCTCTTCCTCGGATTCATGGCCACGGCAATGGCGGTGGCTGTGATTACTTTGTCAAGCGGTAAGAAACATCTCATTATAGTATCTCATTATAAGTGCTAATACGCGCTATCTTAATAAAAATTCAATCGGACCTTTTGTAGAAGGCTGCACCATACTGCTCGTACATTTTGTTCAGTTGGGCACTTCTTGAAAATTTCGTTTGATTTTGGTGTGATTTGTATTGGAGCTTAGAGGTGCATACTTAGGGTAGGCACCGCAAAGACGAAAGCGAGGTACAGAAGTACGAGCTCTTACGTCTCGATTGGGCCTTCGTTGTTTGTGGTACCTGCCCGAGAATGCATTTCTACAAACTCGCTTACATTCAATTTCTCGCAAACTTGATTAAAGGTACGGATGCGCTGCTGACTTTGCAATACTCTTTCGAGTGAAACGAAACGCGCGCCAAGTCGTCAGCCGGCCTGCCGTGTCACCTCCGCGTGTTAGGCTGACAAGCATATGCGTCCTTTGTTTTAGGTGCCTTATGATACATAGTAAGCTTCACTGTGCACTATTTAAATAGTAAAAGAAAATCGGTAGTGTGAAAAGTGCTGAAAACATGTTTGTTGCAGCGGTATTGTTGAATGCGTTAATGAGTCTTTTTTAGAGTAGTACACTGCCGATTCAACTACTTGTTATCACAGAACACCCTGCTATAGCTAAAAGTGTTTCATAACTGGGATAACATTTCGAATTCATCCCGACTACCTTTTCATGTGCTGTGTGTACTCGTAAACATAAAATTGTAATCTCGAGCACGACACATGTTCCCATTCGCTTCTCTAATTTTCCTACTCAATAGTGCACTCACTGGTTTCCAGTTTCAAACGTGGCAGTGTTGGACGCCTAGCACACTTCGCGCATTCAGAAACACACCACGTGAATTCGGCGCCCGTTCATCCTCAAATGCTCGGCGATCGCAAGGGTGTGACACAATTCGCGGCGTTCAATTCCGCAGATGCCGACACCATGGACGAGGTTACCAAGGCATCCGAGCCGCCTGCAAAGGGTCAACGCGATCTGGGAGATGCCGGAGATCTCACTGCGATAATTCCCGAGTTCAGGACTCAGGTGGCGTCGGTTATAACGAGGAGGCGCCCGACTACAAGGGCACCTACGGCAGCAGCAAGTACGCGGACGCCACCCACGACGACGTCTACTACACAGGCGACTACTACGAGGCGGACGACAACGTCGACTACAACGACAACGTCGACTACAACGACTACGTCGACTACAACGACTACTCCGGCTACGACTACGTCGACTGCGATGTCTACAACGACTACGTCGACAACAAGGCTGACCACTGTGCCTACAACTACATCTACAGAGATGCCTGCCGTGGAAACCACGCCCCCTATCCCAGTTCCAACATCTGAAGAGCCTAAAAGTGAGTGCACCCAGAACTCGTCACGAATATTTGGGCACACTTGTACGTAGATCCATCTCTATCCGGTGAGGGGGGCGGCCCTGCCGTAAGTGAGGTGTTAAGAAGTGAAAAAGGAACAATATCCACTCCCTGTTCTGATCATTTTAGAAACTTTTAATTACCGAAGTTCGGGTTTTTAGCAATGTTTCTTGAAGTTGTGCGTGATTTTCTAGTTTTATTTGGATTGGAAACCCTGCTTTGTTTGTGCGAAAAGTCGGTTTTACCGTGGCTTGTTTATTTTGTAGTTCCAAGTGAATTCTGCGTTTTGTTGCTTCATTGTTTTTGTTACATTGCATTACATTGTATGTGCGTGAACATTCTTTTTTTTCTGCCCGTCCTGCTTGGACCATTAAATTGGTCTGCAGTATTGTATAAATAAAAAAAATAACAGCAGAGGGCTTCTGGAACGTTCTTATAATTGTGCAGTATAGCACAGCGAGTCTCTATTTCTTAAGTTCTTGGCATTTTTTTCTCAATACACACCATATGTTTGTTATGGGCAGTGTTCAAGTGTCCTGCGAAACAAAATGTTTAGGAGCAATGCCACATTTTACCGCTGTTTTCCAGTGGGTCTCTGCTGTATGAAATCGAAGTCTAATTTGATGACAGGCTCTTTTCATCTCCATTGTTTTCTTGCACATTCACAATTGTTTAACGAAAGCGCCTTTGCATTAGTGGAGTGATGTCGCACGTTCACATGTGCCCAAATATTAGGAAGGACAGTAAATAATTATTGTGTGAACTAATAACTATAATAAGACTCATTTAATAGAAAATCAATTAGTATATTGTGGAATCAACTGTCAATATGCATGAAGAAAAAACACACTTTATGATCGAAAATACCTTCTTCGAGAAAACGGGACGTGTAACGTAATGTATCGTATAAAAACAAAGATACAAAAATACTAGAAAATACAAAGTGTACGAGTCTCTCCTAAGTTTTTTTTTTTTGTTAGCGAAAGATAAGGACAATGGAAGCTAATGAGCACTGCGTAATGCACCACATGATTGCAGCCTGTACTTGTTCACGTTACTCTCTTGTACAGTGAGAGTAACAATATATAGAAACACAGGTCGACAACAGCAACCTGAAAATAAATATTACTGAAGTTGAAGGGTATGTCTTCTCAAATAGATTTGTAAGGCTGATGTTACACGGCGGTAAATTGATCCGTTTTGAGCTATAGTATGCGTTGAATTGAATACTGAGCAGTTTTCGTGTTGTAATACTCCTGGAACCTATGTCACACAAATACCAAAAATAATCCCCGTTCACTTGTCTGTTAGACACCGCATTGTTTTTGTCAAGTACAGCCATTTCAAAACATTGAGACGCGTTTGCTCAATTGTGATGGGGCACTTATTAAGGACAAAAAAAGTTGGTATGAGTCATTTCGGTGATTCCGGACAGGGAAAGTGTGTGACTAAAAAGATATGTGGTAACCCATTTCGGATCCCACGACTCTTCTACAAGAAAACAATCTCAAAAAAAAAAAATTGACTCCATCTTTCCACGGGGAGAACTCGAGTATATCGCGTGAATGCCACATAATTGGGTATGGTTTGGGAATGCCTAATTGTTATTTCGTCTTTCTTGTTCCTGTATATTGAGTGAATGAGAAGCATTGCCTTTGACGAGTGGTGAAACGCTAATGTGTGAACCAGTGCCCACTTATATACACGGTGGCCAGTGAATGGTTGTGCAGCTCGAGCAGTCGGTTTTTACTAATAGACGCTGCCTGCGTCGGCCTTGTTAGGCGAGAGACGGGGAGGGCAGAGCAAAAAGTCGGTACGAGACGCGATCATGCGGCATGATACGTGAGGTTCGATCATGCGCAGTGGGGTTGTGGAAAACGCCGACGCATGACATTTCGTCCGACTTAGAAATGCTCCACATTTAAAACAGTTTAAACAGAGACAAAAAAAGAACAGTTGGGGCTTTCAAAAAAAAATGTGTATTTTCTTCTTAGGTCTCAAGCTCTCGTACTAGCTCTTCATGATGGCGATATTCACGGAGCAGATTCACAATACAGAATACTTATGGGTATGTTCACAACCACAATTATTAAAAACATATCCAGGTCAGCAATGGTTGTTCACCTGCTCTGTAATGTCGCCACAAGTTTAAACACAGCAAACGTACTCCCAAATAATGGCGTTGCTGAATATACGTTGTGCTTTCATCTTCACTTTTATTTCTAAAGCTGTGTTCACAGAACTGTTACGGCACAACTTGGGAGTTTTTGTTTTTCTCATATTTCATGTGGCCATAAACTTGCGCAGAAGACACGTGGGCGGGCCTGCTCTGCACAGTCGGCACGAAGCTCAACGATTCGAAAAGGCTCCCTGAAGATAAGGTGTGCAATTACCTATTCTACGATTCCGTATACAAAAAAGGTGCCACGCCGTTCGACCCCACGAACCTGGATCCAGCCTTGAGCACCTTCTTGAACGGTGGCAAGGAATTGCCCTCTACCACATTAGGAATTGGATTCGCGTACAAGTGAGTAGACGCTCTTCCCGAATGAATGCCCTGTATTTAGTCTAAACCCGAGGTGTGTTGTTTTCCCGATTATTTGCAGCGTGCTCGATATGTTATCTAGAATTCGTGTGGGGGTTTACATTGTCCCCATTCGCCATCTGCCCGTACCATAATTGACTTGCTGTTTTCAACGTGGCAGAAAGAGTTGTCACGGTCATGAAAACAGCACTTCGTTCTGACTCTGAACATCCCTGGCCAGAAAATTTTTATTTATTTATCTATTTATTATACCTCAAAGGCCCTCAATGAGAGGGCTTTACATGAGGGACAAAATTTCCTCCAACAATCTTGCTAAAGCATCTACTCGCTTCGCAGATATGCAATATTTCTGCAAAGCCCGAACGAAAGAGTTTTTGCCAGCTTTGTGCCGTTTCAGCCCACACCCATACTGTTAAAACGTCGGATAAGTGAAGTCCAACTTGTTTCTATTTCATTTTGACATGTCGTTATGTCACTGCTAGACCGATTATGTGCGGGTGTTTCCGCAACTCTTCTATTTGTGTAATGCTTTCTTCTTCATTTAATTAGTCTTTCAGCAGATGTTCTTTTTTCCCTATGCCGTGTAGTTTGCACTTTGGCTGGAAGATGGCGCTTTATCAGATGCCAGAACCAACATTATTGAAGCCCGCATACTTTCAGGGGATAATTTCATATTTTCTTATTTTCATATTTAGCTCGCATATTTTCAGTGTTTCCACTTGCAAGAGCAAGTGGAAACACTGCCGTGTCTCTGATAGGGAGGTTATTGTAATAATTCCAATACAAATGAAAACACTCTCGTGTGTCTGGTGGTGAGATAATACTATATAGAAATTACAGTAGAAAGAATGCTGTGAGCTAAATGTTTAGTGATTGATCTTACTGGCTAGCACAAATGGTACGCAGAAATAAGCAAACTGGGTTTCAAAAGTGTTTGACGTTAACCAGAAGCCTTGGCTTTCGGCAGGTACCGAAAACACCTCAAGTCGCAACTTAAAACAAAAAGAGGAACTGTCCCAGCGGTGGTGAAATATTTCCTTGACCAAGGTATTTGCAACTTCGGAATCCTGGACACCCCGGCATCAGGCGTGGAAAAAAAATCCTTCAAACAAATGTTGGAAAGCCTGAATGTGAGAATATTTTGAAAAACTTGTCATTATTGCAACTTTTTGAACATAACAACTGAAAATGCATGTTGAAAGAAAAATAATAATGTCGGACGTCGTAATATCGATTCAACAGGCAAAAAAATAGTAATTATTACCAACATGCAATGAGGCCAAGGAAAGTTTCCTAGACGTTATTTGCAGTAATTATGGCATAAAAAGAAAGAAATACGCTTAGACAAAAACACAACGCACCATATCTCCGGGGACCAAACAGCAACCTTTGTATAACGTGACCGAGGCTCTACCCATTTTACCTGCTATGACGGTCATCCCCTTGTGCACTTTACTTGGTATGGCTGTGCACTTAGACACGTGAACTTCAACCAACGTCACTCTCCACCATGGCAGCAGCCATGAAACACTGCTTTTCAATGTTCAGTAGCATGTGATGTCACTGTCTTGCATCTAATTAACAATCCGTCACATACTACCTTCATAAGAATAAATAAAGGGTATTTAAAAGAATTGTTTTTCTTGTGAGACAGGATATTATGACAGAGATTAAGGTCAAAGAAAGTAAATGAGGCTATTTTTTTGGAGTAATTGTGATATCATTGAAAAGAAACGAAAGTATACAAAAAGATAACCCACCGACTACTCGGGCCGAAACTGCAATATGCTAGTCCTCTGTAACTTTGGGTGTAACAAGCAAGAACGAGCCCCCTGAATTCCCCTTCTTTTGTTCAATAGTAGCAGGAGTTTTCATATGGCGAACTTCATGGCTTCTGGTTGTATGCGAGGGATTAGCGGTGAGCGACCAGCTGGTAGAAATATGAAGTGCTGCATGACACCAGCATGCAGAAAGAGTGTGCCATGCCCCGCCGCGGTGGTCTAGTGGCTAAGGTACTCGGCTGCTGACCCACAGGTCGCGGGTTCGATTCCCGGCTGCGGCGGCTGCATTTCCGATGGAGGCGGAAATGTTGTAGGCCCGTGTACTCAGATTTGGGTGCACGTTAAAGAACCCCAGGTGGTCAAAATTTCCGGAGCCCTCCACTACGGCGTCTCTCATAATCAAATGGTGGTTTTGGGACGTTAAACCCCACAAATCAATCAAAGAGTGTGCCATACTCGTCATCATAGGTGTAAAAAGTGCTGGATAACAACACCCCCAGGTTTAAGAGCGCAGACATAACCCATAAGGCGGGCGAGACGATGACCACGGCTGTAGCTTAATTTGTAGAGCATCGGACGCCTTGTTCGATAAAATTAGTTTGAACAAGTGAACCAATTACGAGTGACGAAATGAAGATGGACAAGGACGTAGCAGTAATAGCAACATAAAATGTATTTATTGGCTCGCGTATAAGTAGGTAAACAAGCAAACACGGCCGCCGACAGAGCTCATTGATCGGAGCCTGGTGTCATTTCCACCATCTTTCTTACCAGCGTTTACCAGTGACACCAGGCGTCAACCACTGCAGGATATATTCTCCTTCAAACTGAATTAGTCGCGCACACAGCAGTCAAATTTGACTTGTTAGCACAGTGGCGTTCTCATCAGTCTTCTATTTAAGAGCGAAGTTCGTTAGGCTCGCACGATGTTCGTGGTCGTCATCGTCGCTCCCCGTCGGACCGAAACACAGGTGTTACATATACTGTACATATAGCGTTCGTAGCGCGCATATGGTTCAAAAATAGACCATATAATGCCAGTCCATCCATCAACGCATCTGTCAGTTTATCTGTCTATTTGTCTGTGTGTCTCAGCACCTGGCCGTTAATCCTTGTGTCCGTAAGTTTGTGCGTACGTCCACGCATCCATGCCTCTATCCGTCGGTCCATTCTATCATCTAGCCGTCCTTTATAACAGTCAGCGACTTCAACGTATACGCATTGTGGACGCTAGGACCTAGCCTCCAAATGTCTCCAGCACTCACTTAGCGAATGGGAAGCCATTTTCGTCCCACATTTTATGTACCACTGCTCAAACAAATTTTACTGGTGAACCAACGAGCGCCGGGCATTATTTGAGGTTGCACGTTTGGCGCCCACCAGCGACAGCCTTCTTGTCGTCCCCTTTAGTTTCTTCTCATTGGTATCATAGTTACTGCATTATTCGTTCCTTATTCTTTTCTTGGCCTGGTTGTTTCTTTGACTAACGCTGTTTCTAACAAAGAAAAAAAAACTAGCGCATAAAATTTTTCCCCTTTCGTAAGGCCGATTCCCTGTACGAGAAGTGTCAAACAAATTTCATAACGCTCGGTTCAAAGAGCAAGCACTATACCGCCAGTACTTCTGCTGTAGAATTCTATCGTGATCGACAGCTACGTCTGTACTTTCGTCAAAACCAAACTTGAAAGCTTGCTGCACGTGCATTCAAACAGTTTAGATTCGCACACCCTCATCGCTATTTAGAAAATCGAGTCCGGACATCTTGCCACGCTTCCTTACACATCTCATTTGATGTGATCGGGCTTCATTGCAGAAGTGTAAGCATCGCACTGCGCAGACCACGCAGCAGCGTTTGGGCAGCTTGACAATCGTTTCAGACTATTCCGCTAAGATCGCGCAGAGGACATCACGAGTCAACTTAGTTCGAGGGCTTCCGCGAGCACCTGCGATGACTCCGGACTATTCGATCATTACAGTATAAAAAAACGACCTGCCGATGCTCAGATTCCTGGCGACCGACGTCCCTGCTATAGCTGTCCTTGCTGCACCTTGGGTGTTGCTTGTTTTACTGGGTGGAACCGTGCCACATAAAACATACAATAGTTATTAGCTCCTTACTTCAAAGTCACACCCATGTAACAATATCTTCTGTAAATACTGCCAACGTTGAACACTTAAGTAAAGTGTGGGATTGGGCTAGTTGGTAATCCATATAAAACTTCTAGGCGCGTAAAACTTCAGACAACTAACATAAGAGACGAGGACGAGCGCAGGACGGACGGACGGACGGACGGATGGATGGATGGATGGATGGATGGATGGATGGATGGATGGATGGATGGATGGATGGATGGATGGATGGATGGATGGATGGATGGATGGATGGGCTCATTCTCGCCAAAGTTCGCTAAGAAATGCTTCACATTTAAAAGAGAACTTGTGGACGCGTGAGACAGCATTCCAGAAAGGGTCACTTATAAAGATTGCTGGCAGCAGAGGCGTCTTATGTTAGTTGTCTGAAGTTTTACGCGCCTAGAAGTTTTATATGGATTACCAACTAGCCCAATCCCACACTTTACTTAAGTACATTTCTAGTTCCTCGGGCACTGTTAATTGTAGCTCCTTTCCCCCTTTTTTGCTTGTGACGCTCATTTCACTTGCCCTGTGCCGGGCACGGGCACTGGCTTACTGCATTCGTGTCGGTCAGCTACCGCTGGACGTTCAGGCTGCGTTCGGGACCCTGGCTCCATCCGTCGGTCACGGAAGGCGGGTCTGCAGGATTCTGCGTTCTGAAACCCTGCGACAAGCTCGAATACTTCGGGACTTTCTGTACGTTCAAGTGGACCGCGGTCCTGGTGACAGGTCTGCAAGGGTGAAAAAACGGCACGAATGGACGAAGCTGATCGACCATGCTGTAGAGAGCAGATGGAAACAAGAGCTGCTTCTACTTCGGCGCCAAAAACGGCGTCCCCAAGTGCGCTCTGCAGGACAGCTCCACGTTGAAGAGGGAATTAGCCTTCCAGACTACGTCAGGACAACGCTATCCCTGGGACCAAAGTTCGCCGTGGAAAAGAAAAACTCACCTGCGGAACTGCTTTCGTTAGTGCGGAACGTTTCAAGGGCTGCCCCGGACAGTGAATCTGAGAGGTGTGTTTCAGAAGGTGTTGATGTCCTCTACCGATATGCGCCTCGAGGAAAGACCATTCCAGTGAGGAAAGTCGTCTCCTACCTAAAGAGCAACAAACTATGTCTGCTGCCTTCGGACAAAGAAGGTGGGTTTTGTGTCGTAAGAAACCGGACCTTCATGAGTAAAGGCCACGCGGCTATTGACTCTGTGTTTAACCTTTGCCCGCAAGTTAATCTGAAGGATGCGAAGCGAAAAGCGTGCAACATGCTTGATAAGCTTAATCTATGTAGCCTCGTGAGATCAGTTAACAAACAAGAAAGACTGGCGCTTAATTTGTTTTTTTCTGCAAAGACGCATAAGATTGATATGCCCTTTCGTGTTATAATCTCTGAACGGGACACATGGCAGAAGTGTGTTGCCTCTTGGCTTCAGAGGTACCTAAAACTGTTGCCGATTAATGATCCTTTTCTAGTGAACAATTCTTCGCAGATTGTTGGCTTCCTCCGTCAACACGTGTCCACTCGTCGAGTGGGTGTTTCCATCGACATAAAGGATCTCTACTATTCTCTGCCTCAAAAACCACTTGTTGATGTCATTGAAAAAGCAATTTCTGATTTTGGCGCTGTTGCCTTTCAAAACGAGTGTGGTATTTCTGTTTCTGGCTTCCTGGATGTGCTGAAGCTTTACCTTGCCTCCACCTTTGCGGAGTGGAATGGTGAAGTTTTTCTGCAAAACACAGGCGTGTGCATTGGCTCATGCATCGCCCCAGTGTTGAGCGATTTATATCTCGCTCATTTGGATAGAAAGATTCATCAACGGTTGGCACAAATGAATGTCAGTAAGTGCTTCCGGTTTGTCGATGATTTCTTAATTTTGTTTGATTGCGATCTTGATGTCCTTAGTGAGTGCTTTCAGCAAGTCTTGCAAGTGTTCCAGGAATGCCTTGAACCACTGTCTCTCACGTATGAGTTGCCGGAAAATGGTTCCCTGAGGTTTTTAGAGTTAATACTAACTTTTTCAGCTGGGCACGTGTGTTGGACGTATGAGCCACGGGGGAAAAAACCCCTTTTACCGTACGCGTCTTCTCACAGCAAACTGGTGAAGCGTGGAATTGTAAAGGCATGTTTATATAACGCTTTAACAAAATCTTGCTTCCACTCAGTCCAGCGAAGTTTCGACAGGCAGATTCTCCGTCTAGAGGCAGCGGGCTATCCCGGTTCGTTGCTAGTTTCTGTGTGTGAGAAGCTGCGCAGACAATCAAGGGCCGGTAACGATGGGGACGTTTTACAAGAAGCAACTCCCAAGAGGGTGGCGGTGATACCGTATCTACATGGTATCTCGCATAAACTCAAGAAAATAGGCCAGAGAGCGGGCGTGTCAGTGGTTTTTTCCGCACCGAATAAATTGTCAAAATTATCTGTCCAAACAAGCCCCGTAGGAACCACTACGAGTAGCTGCAAAATTAAGCACCGAAAGAAGGTTGTTGAGTGTGCAACAGGGATTGTTTATGGCGTACCTTTGTCTTGTGGACTTGAGTACGTCGGTCAGTCAGGCAGGTGCCTCAATGTAAGACTTCAAGAACATTGCCAGAAAGTAAGAAATGCAGGACGGGACGGTTTTTTGGCCGCTCATTGTTCCGAATGTGGATGCCAGCCTTTGTTCGAACAGACAAGGGTTCTCGCGTCCCACCCTAATGAAGGCACAAGACTTGTAATTGAAGCTGCAGCAATTGCTCGAGGTAGCTGCATCAGCAAACCATCGATAGCATTATCTGGGAAAGAATTGGCGTTTTTAAATTCGGCACGTGAGGGCCCAGGGTGAGCACGTGATGTTTTTGCAATCTCTCTTTTCGCCTTTTGATTTTGTGTGTTGTTTTTTTTTTGCTTAAGCAAGTGATCTTATCTTCTTTCTAATATATATATGTGTGTCGTAGTAGTAATAAAATCAGTTGAAAGTACTGCGCTCGTCCTCGTCTCTTATGTTAGTTGTCTGAAGTTTTACGCGCCTAGAAGTTTTATATTTAGTTGAACACTGCTGTGTATCTTGATGTATCCGGCATGACAACGAGCCCTCTTTTTTTGCAGCTGCTACGCCAGTTTTCGATGAACCATACATCGCGGGCTGAAAAATGTCGCACCGTTTTTGTTGGTCCATCTGTGGGCAAGAATTTAGCCAACACCTACTATGAAACGTTTTCGTAAGTTACGCAATGTACTTGCCTAAAAATTAAAGGGAAAAATGGCAGATTCCACGTACAGTGTGAAAAGCCACGAGCATGCTATGAGTGCAGCATGAAATCATGTTTTACATGACACGAATGTCGTGATTATCACGTTTGGACGTGCCATGTACCTTCGTCGTCCTTTCACGTCACGTAATACTGAATTTTGTATATGTGGAGCTAGTGAATCGGCCTCGAGCACGCTATGAGCGTAACATGCAGTCATGTTTTGCATGACACGCGTCTCGTGATTATCATGCTTGCAGTAGTCTTATACCTTCGATATCCATTCACGTGCCGTAAAACCAAATTTGGTATATGTGGAGCTAGTGAAACGGCGACAAGCACGCTATGAGCGTAGCATGTAGTCATGTTTTACATGACACGCATGTAATGATTTGCACGTTAGGGTTGGTCACTTATGTTCGTCAGGCAGTCAAGTCATACCATATCAGTTCTGCAATGTGTCATGTAAATGAAACCACCGTAAGAGCAGCAGGACCATGAAATATAAATTGTGACATTCGTGACATACCGGTCATGGTTTTAATTTTATGACTAGTCGCTCATGCTCGTGATACAGTCATGTTATGTCATACCAATTTCGGTATCGATACCATTACCGCAACGACCAGAAGAGCGAAAAGTCGTAGGTGGGCGACTTGACAAATAGATAGATAGATAGATAGATAGATAGATAGATAGATAGATAGATAGATAGATAGATAGATAGATAGATAGATAGATAGATAGATAGATAGATAGATAGATAGATAGATAGATAGATAGATAGATAGATAGATAGATAGATAGATAGATAGATAGATAGATAGATAGATAGATAGATAGATAGATAGATAGATAGATAGATAGATAGATAGATAGATAGATAGATAGATAGATAGATAGATAGACGGACGGACGGACGGACGGACGGACGGACGGACGGACGGACGGACGGACGGACGGACGGACGGATGGATGGATGGATGGATGGATGGATGGATGGATGGATGGATGGATGGATGGATGGATGGATGGATGGATGGATGGATGGATGGGCTCATTCTCGCCAAAGTTCGCTAAGAAATGCTTCACATTTAAAAGAGAACTTGTGGACGCGTGAGACAGCATTCCAGAAAGGGTCACTTATAAAGATTGCTGGCAGCAGAGGCGTCTTGTAGTAAGAAACGGTGGGGGGGGGGGGGGGGTTCAGAATAAGCAGAGTAGAGACACTCGACCTGCCCCTGGAATGCGACTCGATTCCGTAGAGGCTGACGAGCAGTGGTCAAGATTTTGTGAGCCACGGCTTTCCCTGTCGCGCAGCAGCGATATACGCGTGCAATCTTTCGGTCGCATGTTTGCCTTTATCCTACTCTCAAGCTACATAAAACGTTTGTAGAACGACTAGTGACGCACTCTTCGTAGCCGTCGTCACCGCTACCCGTGCGAAACGTGCCATTATTACCCAGGTCGGCGGCGTCACATCATAAATAGTTGCTACCATTGCTGCCGCGCTCGCCAGCGGAAGCAAAATGATTAAATTAAATAAATATATGAACACTTAGACAAAACAATCGAGTCACGTGGTGGTTGAAAGGGACACGCTTCTCTTCGCATACAGCAAGTCCACTTCTTAGGCGAGAACACTACAAACTGCTGCTGGCTGCTTCCGGCGCCACAAAAGCATTCTCACTCTGCCACTGGTTGACAGCGCTCCTGCACCACCTCGAACGCTGAAGCACAGCGGCTCTCAAGAGAGCGCTGCCAGCAAGTTTTTCGAGTGCTTGTGTTTTTCTAGAGAAGTTCGACATTACGTCGTAAACGAGTCTAAGTATTCATGTCTAGATATGAGAAGTCTCAGAGACGGCAAACACAGCACGTGGGGTTGAACAAGGGCTGGTCATCCTTGGACTTCGATTTCCTCCATTTTTTTAAAGAAATAGCAACGTATTTCTCAAGAATGTAACGAATGGTATTTATGACGGTTTTTTACCGAAAGACCTTAGATTTTACGTGTCCTTGATGGAAGTCGTCATACATTGCCGAGAGTAAAACCGAATTGCATCTTATTTATTGTTGCTAGCTGTTATAAGTCTATAGAAGGCCAGCACAACGGAAATTATCAACTTTCAAGATTCCTGATGGTGTCTTCGTTCTTGTACGAGGTACATGTATTATTATCTCATACTACAGTTTAATGCCAGGCCACATGCTTTCCTTTCTTGCATCTGGTAAGAGAAAGCAGTTTTTACGTGTTCTTTTTTATTTCCACCGCCGCCCATAACGTCTTCGCAACTACTCTTGGCAACTTCGTTGGATACGTCCAAATGGCAAACAATTTAGGGCCTTCCTACCGACCTTATGACTGACCTTGAGATTCACATGTGCTGTCAAACAGTGTCAATGATGGATTGGATCTTAAGTGGTCCACATGCTCTGAACGGTTACTGGCTGCATGGACCCAGTCAAGCAGATTATAATTGCCCTTGGCCAATGTACGAAAGGCGTTGCTGTTTCTATCTATCTATCTATCTATCTATCTATCTATCTATCTATCTATCTATCTATCTATCTATCTATCTATCTATCTATCTATCTATCTATCTATCTATCTATCTTCAGGATGATTTGGCTTATGTATTAGTAATTCGTTTCGATTTCAAGATATAGTAAAAATATAAGATATATAACTTGACGTTGTGGCAATTATTACAGTTACAACGTAATTCACTCATTGTCTAATTTTAGTTTTCTACTTTATTATTAATTCTGTCTCACGCGCATGCAGGAACATCTTCACTCCGGATATTGTAGTCTTGCTCAGTCACTACGTGGAAGGTGACAACACCTTCGAGGACTGCCACGTCGTGCCGCCAACGATATTGTCTAGGCCTGTAACGCTCTCTACCAACAGCAGTTACAAGCATGACATGGTAAGGAATTAGGCACTCTAAACCTGGTAGAACGTATTTTTTAATCAATGTCGCAATACGCGTACTACACAATAAGAAAAACATCAGCAAGCCATAAAGCCAAGTATTCGCTTCAAATATGCATCTGGCCAGTTGTCTGTTCCAAACCATGATCATGGAATAAACGAAGACATTACATGTCGTTATTGCTAACTAACATGAAGGCATTCAATAACTTAGCAGTGTGGTATTCTAGGCTGTTTGGTACATGTAAAGCGCGGGGCTCCAGCAAGTTTAAGCCTCACCGCGGTGGTCTAGTGGCTAAGGTACTCGGCTGCTGACCCGCAGGTCGTGGGATCGAATTCCGGCTGCGGCGGCTGCATTCTAGATGGAGGCGAAAATGCTGTATAGTCCCGCGTGCTCAGATTTGGGTGCTCGTTGAAAAATCCCTGGTGGTCGAAATTTCCGGAGCCCTCCACTACGGCGTCTCTCATAATCATATCGTGATTTTGGGATGTTAAATCCACATATCAATCAAATCCAGCAAGTTTCAAGCGCGGGCAGAAGAGAAAAGAACGCACAGATAAACGTTGGACTTACAACTGAAGTTTATTAAAAACGAAACGTGAAACTGATAAAAAACTACATTTCCCTGCGAAACAACTCATAATTTTCGCCAGCCGTAAATTCCGCCCATCGCCATTTTGCGGCTGTGCGCGTGATCTCATGAGCTGGAAGTAACGATCGGTCGTCTTCTAACGAAGTTTTTGCTGCTGTAAAGAATTCACTTTCGGCGCCCCGCTGGTGCAAGCCAAGTTATCTCGATTGCACGCCCAACAGACCACGGAACAATATTGTTCGCTCAAATGCATATGCTAGTCGCATGTTACTTCACATCTCGCGAGTGCAGCAGCGCTTCCCGACTTTCAGGCAACGGGAGAGTTTGTAATATTATACGAATAATATACGAATACGATAGACGAAATGCGCAAAGATATAGCAAGGCTGTTTGTGAATGCACATTGAATAATCCACGTAATTGAGATCTGAAATCGTGTGTTCGTGCCTCTATAAGGGTTCATTGACAAAAAAAAAGTGGGTTGTATTGCGAAGCAAATACGGTCGTTTGTGATGCTCTTGGCAAAGGCTATGTTTTCTGCTCATGAACACGAAGAACTCCCAGTATGTTGGCAATGCACAGCTTCATTTAGCACTTACAATATAGCGGGCTTACTGTGATAGCGGTATCGTAGTGCGCATGCGCAGATACGTACGTTACCCGTACCGCTTACCGTAAGCGCGCTAATAGGGAGTTTTAGTGCTGGGTACACATTCTCTAGGGGCGATGCGTGCTTGGGAGCGCGCGGCGTTGCGTGCCCAACCCATACCCAACCGGAATGCCTTTTAGTTGGCGCCACGGTGGCACGCACGCAAACGCAAGCCGCACAAAGTTCACACGCGCTCGCAGAGCCATAGCGTCTTGTCGCGTAAGTATTATTCAAGTCTTTTTATGATTTAAAATGTTAAAATAAACATACATAGTGATCAGTACTTTTTTTATTGTGTACAGTAATCTGGTATACGCAAAAAAGTGAAAAATACAAGGTTACTGTAACGACAGTGTCGACATCTTGTGACACTTCGTGCAACCACAGTCATGAACATGTTAGCTTACGCGTAATGTTTTTGAGGGGAAAATGAATAAAAAGATTACTTATTTGTATTATTGTCGCAGCGCAGTTTTTGCACCAGATGTACAATGCACAATGTTTCTGCAATAACAAAGTTGTGGTTGTCTGTTTCACTATGGCCCTGATAGATGGCGCCACCTATCCAGCTGGTCGGGGGCTGGCATATGCCTTTTAGTTTCTACGTTCGAGGCCATTCTAGCTTAGGAAATCTGGCTGAAACCGTGTAATCGCTATAGGAGGGTTGCACAGGGGCGTGGCCCACGAGATGGCGCCAGCGTCGAAGAGGCAGCGCATCCATCTTTGCGGTCTCCCTCCCTGCCGCCGCGGGCAAGCAGTCGCAGAACGTACACTAGTACGGGGGTGTTATATGGTACACTCACGGCTGCGCACCTGTGCAAGATTCCTGTGCTCATAATGGGGAACTGTGCCTTATTTGGTCGCTACAATCACTCGAGTAAGAAGGCTGGTCATGAGAATGCGTCTGATGTCGGCTTCTTTTTCTTCCATACCTAAAATGATCGTAAACCAATCAAAAAGGTTTGGATGGTTCAGCCACACACTATACCACGTGTGCGTTAAACATTTAATTTTGGATAAGTGTTCAGAACCTATGCAACATCATAGAGGTTCGCGTTTGGGGTAGAAAACTTGGGTTTTCGCGACGTGCTATGGAGCTTTGTTTACGCAGCAGCAGACGAGCGTGCGCACTACGACCGCGATAGCTGCTTATCAGCGGTATCATTCAGGTAGGTGCTACGTGTTACTGATTTATCTGTGTTAGTAAACAGTCAGCGACGCAGTGCGTTCTCGTTTACCCATGATTTAAAGAGCTGAGCATATTAACGTCGATCAGTTACAATCGAGACTATGATTTCTGGGTGCGCAACTGCCCGACGCGCGTCATTGGACCCTGCAGCAAAGAGCATTTTTGATCGCAAGCGGCTTGGGCTCAACCATGAACAAACTATGACAATTGTATCATCTCACATACTCTTGCAAATGGTGAAGCCCTTCCACACTAAGAATTCGGGAAACGACACCACCGCGGTGAAAAAAAAAAGAATTATTCGTCAGAGCACTGAGCAAGGAAAAGCAGTCACGTTTCCGACGACGACGCGGCGGCCGTCTCCGAGGTCTCTAACTCGATGCTGTTGGACCCATCCGCTAGTGACATAGTTGTGGGCGTCCATCAATTTACAGGCTTTAAGCTCGTCCCTTGTCGCAAAGCTTGTACCGCCAACAAGGTGGTCCTTAATGTCCGTGAGCTTGATGCGGGAATAACACTTCACATCCCACACAGCTTCATCGCTGCTGAAGTCGAACGGGTCGATATCCGCTGCAAATGTGAACCTTATGTTCGTAGTGAAGTTTCGCCGGACTTCGGAAGTCACGCGCGTAAGCACTCAGTCGAATTTCACCACGTTGGTACCGTACGTAGCGGCACGCACACAACCTCTCACTGCCGCTCGCCGCTTCAAAAAGGGCGCGCTTAGACCACTGACATGGCGGTAGAGGCAAGCGCCGCTAGCGCCTCAAGCGGATGACGTCACGTGCAACCCTCCTATAAGTGCTCGCACTTTGGCTTATTTTAACTCGACGGCTAGAGTAGCCGCAGTGCGGATACCGTGAGGCCTTGCGAAGGTGGACCACGTGGACGCATGGCCCCATCGCCCCAGCGATCTTGCGACGCATCTGTTTGGGGTTTCGCGCATGCGCAATACCGCCGCCCCAACGTCCTGCGTACGCAAGCCGCTTGGGTACCCAGCACTAAAACTCCCTAATAGAAACGTTTCGCCTGTACGTGTACTATTTACGTTAATGTGCTCCCGGATATCGGTTTGCGTTTACTGTCTTACCAGAACACGCGCCTTTTAACGTTTTAGCTCCTCATACGTAAACGTTTACGTATACGTACGTAAACTCGCATACCTTTACGTTTTCGCAAGCTATAAATGGTGGGGATAACTGCATTTAAACAGCATTTACCTTGCATAGGATTGAATCACCGTAGTGGCGAAATCATGAGAATTTTTTTATCGTCCAGTATCCTCATATGCGGTAAAGGGTGAAAAAATACAAGGCTACTGCACGATGATGCCGACATCTTGTGACAGTTCGTGCAGCCACAGTCATGAACACGTTTACTTACACGCATAACGTTTTGAGGTGAAAGTGTGATTAAAAAGGTAACTTACTTGCAATAGCGCCGCTGCATGGTTTTTGGATTAGGCGAATAATGCACGTTGTTTCTGCGATAACAATTTCATGATTACATGGTTCACCATGTCCCCACTAAATGGCGCCACCTATCTAACCTGTCGGGGGCTCGCACGTTTACAGCATGTATGTACTACGCCATTCTAGCTTTAGTCATCCGGCTGAAACAATGTAATCGCTATAGGCGCTTGCACTTCGGCTCATTTCAACGCAATGGCTCGAATCCCCGCAGTGCCGATACTGCGCGTTCTTACGAACGAAGGTGGATTTGCGAGATAGGGCGGGGAAAGTAAAGCCTATCCGGCGGGAAACCTTAATCCTATCCGGCGGTAAACGTAAAGGTATATCTACCGTAAAGGCCCGTGCATGCGCAGATTCTATTTGGAATCCGGTAACATGTTAACGTATAGAAGTGTACACGTACAAGCTTCCAGATTTAGCGTTACTGTGTTAGCGTGGTGTACATACTGTATCTAAACATGGCGGCGCTATCGGACGACCGCTTCGAAGTGATTTTGGCGTAGTTGTTGAAAGATTCAGTTCGTTCGCCGCAAACGACTGTTTCAAGTAGCTTCACTTGCATTCAGTCAGCTTCGATGACCGAATATTACGAATAAGCTAGCGTAATTTTTGAGATAGATTCGCATTTCAAACTTTTCTAGGCCTAACAAGAAGATCGATGTAAACGAATCGGCAACACAGATGTTTCTGCGTTCGGTGCGAGGTTCACGTTTATTTCTTTCATTATTACTGTAATAAACTTTTAACAATACTTCGCACAGTGACAGAGACAAACAACCTCGTTTCCTTTTCCTTTTCAACGTTTTTAAACCTATCAATCATTCGACAGGTGGCGTCACCTTCCCAGCTGGGGCACAATAACCACGTAAACACTATCTCCCTAAACTATAAGACGCTGTCCGCAATGAACGTTTGCTGCGCAATAATATCATTCCCTTGACCCCCGCTATCACGCTAACTGTAAACTTTAATTGTCTATTAACTGTCACGTATTAACTCCATGCAGCATAGAGCGGCAGACGAAATACGGAAGCTCACCAAACTAGGCCTGGTCGCATCATGGGCGTTGTCGGTCACCATGAAAGGCCGATGGACTGTGCTCAAAGCAGGAGAACCAGCCGACTTCCTGTCCAAATGTGCGCATGACCCGGAGGCTGACTCTTTCGGATCCTACGCAGAAGTGAGTGCTTCGAGAATTATTATCTTTCTTCAACACGTGTCGCAAACAAATTACGATTACGCTGCATGCTGTGGCATATTTCACTTCAATGGTGAGCACTAGCAGTTCTGAACGGGTTCCTGGGTGCAACTACAACTCCATGAGTAGCAGTGCTATTTCATCCGATCGAAGTGCGGCCGTTATGGCTTTGGATTGTGTCATCCACGTTGATTACGGGAGCCATACGAAATTTGCCAAAGTACCATGCCAGGTTTATTGTTGAATTGTCTCATACAAACCAAGTGGCCTTTTCCATGGCTTAGCCGTGTACAGTAAATGCGATGAGCCTTACTGACATTATAGTGTGTTTTTTTTAATATTTTGTCATCGTTCGCTAAGAACATTAATTTATTCCACACATTAACTGTCATATACTAGGCAGAGAGATTTGTTTTGAGAACACCTGCATTCTAGTGATTCCGTAAAAATTGTGCTCCTATAGCACAATACTAATTTAACTGTTTATTCGTGACATCTTTCTTAGGGTAAAAGTACCGTGACCAGCACACCACTCTCCGTAAAAAGCACTGATGCACAGGTCGCTGGCTGTACCGCTACCACAGAGAGCATGTACATTCGAATAAGGTTTTTTTTTTTTTGCAAACATGCTCAAAGAAAGAATAATAAATGAGAAATCTCTAATACGCCTAATGAAACTGATTACAAATCTACTGTGTGACCACTTAAATTGAGTCAGTGCTATAATTTATCTCGCGTGGCTTATACTCGGTGCATGCTCCCACCGTTAGCAACAAAATCGTTGAAATTCCTTGTGATGCAGGGCGGAAAGAAACCACCGTTGAATTCCAGCAACTATGTCTGAACAGATATTAACAAGCATATATATCGCTCATCGTAATCGTCAATGTTCACTCTTGTTTCTAAAGAAAATGACTCCTTGAAATTAACACTCCTCATTACGTCCTTATGATGATGTAATGGGAAGCTATACTTTATTCGAGTGAAAATGTTACGAGGTTGCTGATGAACCACTTGGCTAAAGAGCATGGTGCATGCACGTCTTCATGATTCTAATTGAACTCTACTCAGCATATCTTGCAGCAACTATTACCACAAACAACAACCGACAAATATAACATAACACACTACATCGCTGAGCTATTCATTTCACAGTTTTGAGAAATCGATAGCGCTACATCGTGCCTCCTTTGTTTTTCCTACTATCCGATCCTCAAACAACCAACAAGCCAAGCGTACATAAATTGTTCGTTGTCGTAACCATTATTGATGTGCCCATACGTTACGGTTGCACGTTGATGCATCTACTTAGGGACAATGTCAGTATTTCTTGCAGCACACGTAAAGGGACGCGCGCTAAAAAAAAAGAAAAGCTCAGACGCTGTCATGCCTTGGCTGTGGCTAGCTTAACGTCCCAGTCACACACTATCTAACATATTAGTAATACTTGCTGCTGGCCTATAGCTCGTGAATGCTTATTGAATACAATAGACGGCTACCCACCATGGGATTCTGGGACAGAACAGAAAAGTTGCGATGACAACTTTCTGTTCTTTCTAAGCCCTGCTGTGGGGGCGATTTTTGTATTCCAGTAAACATGAACCTTCCTCGCGGTATGATTATCAGCAACATGCTGGTCGAATGCACGTCCATAGTCTATGTTACACGGGTAGAGGAGATTACAACAAAGAAAAGCCGTTGTGCATGCAGTTTATTGCCTCCATTCTCACCTGTCATTGTGGTGGGTATTATACTCATGTTCGAACTGCATAAGCGGCAATGGCATCAGCAGCTTGCAGTATTGTAGTCACAACAGCCCGCACGAGTTTGGGGGATGAAATGAAAGTTTGCAAATTTAGGCATTGCTTGTTGACGACTCGTTAAGCTGCCACTCGCACTGCATACAGTACGGTTCGAAGCTAGAAGGAACGCGCGAGTGTGTGTAACTGGTGACTGGCGGAGCGCCAGCTGCTGGCGAGATTTCGAAATACGGCGCATGCGCATTGGTTTATCAAACTAGCGCGGGCCTCGCGTCGTCTTCTATTTCTGTGCCTACGCACTTAGCGTGCACTACCGAGCCAGGACCTTTCGCGCTTTTCGTTTTCGCACTGCAAGTCAACTGATGCCCACTCGACCTATCACATCTTTTAGTAGCGCATATTTCATGGTCACAAAGGCGAACTTAAAACGTTCGCTACGTCAGACTTCAACAGCCTTATGTGCTATCAAAAGCGGCCAGTGGCAGCGAGCTGTACGTGAAAAATATGGCGAGCTTAACGGTGAGAGCTTGCGAAAAACTTCATGAATAAATAAAACCATACCTTTCTTCAGCGTGTTGTAAATTCGACGAGCAGCGGTCACACTGACAGCTAGATAAGTAGCACCGCAAATATGGGAGTGATAGGGTGCGCGCCAACCTTCTGTGAATTCCATACGCATGCACCGTACTAACAAATCTCGCCGCCAGTTAGCGCCACGTGACCCGCCATGGCCACAAGCTTGCGGCTTTCCTGTAACATTTAACCGTACTGTACATACGTATAGTGTGTATACATGAGGCTCATTTGGCCATGTGCCTTTTTTTTTTCCATTGTTTCACATCAGGTATGCGAAAACCCAGAGTTCAGCAGTGACATCAAATATATGACGGGAATCCGTGGCTCAGCGTTTCACCGCCAATCGGACGGAAAGATGTTTTCTTACGACAACTCTTCTACACTGGTCGGAAAGGTAGGATAACTTCGCTGTCGCTCAACGTTTGATGTGATCATTCCTGAGTGTTACTTGAAAACATTGCGCCAGGCAGCTGCCGTTTAGTCAAGTCGCCACGGAGACAACGCCTCTCTCAGCAGTATGCACCAGAACACAGAGTCCATTGCATGCCGCCATATTTAGAACGCTCTTCGCGCCATCTATTGCGAGCGCGCTTAAGAAACACGTAGACTGGCAAACCCTGAACAAATAAGGCGTGAAACTTCCCAAGACAAGCATGGCTGTAAGCATGTTGCGCGTTTTTACCCTTCCTGGAAATTTGTGCTGTTTTCATAACAAACGTGTGTCCGCGACAGTCAGAAATTTCTACATTGCAGACAGCGAAGCAACTTCGTCAAGTACGTTACTATCACCATAAAAAGAAAGACGGAAACCATAGAAGCTGTGCCTTTAAACTCGTTCGAACTGTCACATGCTTTGACTGTCACTATGGGAAACTTCTGGTTTAAACTGGCATCACCGTAGCGCTAGAAACCTCATCCGGATTGCTCTCATGCATTGCACGTGCTCATCATTTGGCCATGCCTGGCCCACAGAACTCATTCTCGGTGCGAAAGGGCCAGGTGGAGCAAGATTTTATATTGCTATAGGTGACGTCGGGCGGCTGAAAGCACATATTCGCCTAGTCTAGACATGTCGCGGTACGACTGAGTCAAAAGCCATGCTTTTCGCTGTCCACGTTTCCTTCTGGCACGATAGCGCGCTATTACATATATGCTAATTGTGCGCACTGTGTGCATGTACTCGTGACTCGTAATACCTCTTACTATAAAAGGCGGCCTGAGAAAGAGTACGGCAATGTTTGGTGCCACATACTACACCCATACCTCACGATAATTACTACCGTAAAGCGAGAACGCGAACGTGACGCTTCAATACACACAGGAGATGCACTTACTCGTGCACGTTCATAGGCAATGTTGATTGCAATTATCCACTGGTGGCAGAGCTCGGCGTTTTCCTCAGTAAACGGAAGTCAGTGCTATCTTTAAACACCACTGCATCACAATTCCCGCGTTGTGGTGCAATCTTCACCGATAGTGCTGTGTAATCTCCCCGTCTTGCGCTGCTTGTTTTAGTATTCAATATTTTCACAGTCGTATGCAGACTACTTCTTGTAAACGAGAGCAGCGTGAAGAGACGCTTGCTCGAGATGAAACATGGTCACTAACAAAGTCCGATGATGATCCGGTGTTGTCGAACTGCATACGGGTTCGTTCCTTGTTCACTGAGCTGGACTTGAAGTCGTTGTGACTTATTATAGAAGTCCAGTCATTGAAGAAGGAACCCGCATGTGGCTTTGAAACATCACATCATCATAGTTGGTCAGTGACCGTGTTTCATGCCAATGAACGCCTGACCATACGGACTTCAATCGAACTCTTGACTACTAGACGCCTGCTTGCATTTTAGAGTCCCAGAGCTGGTAATCCTAATATAAAATTAGTACAATAGACATATAGCTTAGCAGTGCAGAACAACATGGCATCTGGGCGCAAGAAAGAGCACCTTCTGGAGCCTCGAAGCCTGTGTGCGAGATAGGTGTGCTCTAGACTATAAGCTCAAGAGTTGTGTTGGACATGGAGCGTGACACATAGGAAATGCTTAGCCCCCAATCTCGCTTTTGGAACACTGGGAGGGCTTGGGAATCTGAAAAAAAAAACTACTTAGGTTTGTCTATAATCGTAACCGCACACCAAACTAAACCAGAACAGGCGATTGCGGAGAGACAACTGCCGACACACACATATCCGAAAGCGCTTATCCTTCGCTACACAAACATTTATTCGCCTCAAGGGTGTGAAGGAAGGGGGGTGGGAGCCCGAGCGACGTCGCAGCGCATGCTGTGGAAACACACTAGCAGCGAGCAACAGGAGTCCCCACAAATGAGTAAGATATGACAGTCTGAAACCGCGGGGCGTAATGGAAGGCGGCCCTGCTCAGCCATGACCTCACTGTTCAAATAGCTTTCTTATCTTCTCAACTGTGATGTCCAGCGCGATAAGAAAGCCTTTTGTCTTGCGGCGACTCGAGGCCATTATCTATTTCAAAAGTACGACCAGCCTCCTCCCCCCCCCCCTTCAATCAATATCGAGCTTCAGTAGTTTTAATGTATTTAGTAGTTTTGAGAAACCCAATCTACATAAAGAGATAAGGCGATACATAGAACCGAATGAAGATATGTGGGCACAAACATTTCCATAACATCCCTGGCGCATTCCTTGTGTGTCATTAGCAATATTTGGGTCCCCTGTACTTCTACAAAAAAAAAGTGATCCTCGCATCTCTAAAGACCTCCTGTGCCACTTGGAGTTTAAGAATGAGATAGTGGTTTATCTGTCGGCTTCACAACCTTTTCTAGAAGCGCAAAATCGCCCTCACCTCTTACTTCTCAAAGCACTTGGACAAAGTCAACACTTAGAGTTGAACCGGTCAGGATTTCTCACTTCTTTCCACCGCCGCGGTGGTCTAGTGGTTAAGGTACTCGGCTGCTGAGCCGCAGGTCACGGGATCGAATGCCGGCTGTGGCGGCTGCGTTTTCGATGTAGGTGAAAATGCTGTAGGCACGTGTGCTCAGATTTGGGTGCACGTCAACGAGCCCATAGGTGGTCGAAATTTCCGGAGCTCTCCTTTACGCCATCTCTCATAATCATACGGCGGTTTCGAGACGTTAAACCCCGCATATCAACGAATCTGTTTATCGCTTTTTGAAATAGGCTCGTTCTTATCTCCACTCGCACATTGCAGGAAGCGACGTAGAATCACTGCATCGTGAAGGATAGTCACGCGAGACAAAGCAGGACGGGCGCGTGACCACGTACCCCTCGTATGCGAACTAATCTAGAGAGTATGCGCACCACATACATATATTGCTTGAAAGACGCGAAACTCAAGATAAGATGAGGCACTCGTTCTTTTTATTTGAATATGTTGTTCGCGGGCCACTTGAGAGAGAAAGGATCAATGTAATCTAGGTTCGTTTTTCAAATAAATTTTCTTCTTCTTTTTTCACACACGGCTGTTGAAGTAGAGCTTATTCAAAGCGCAGCGATATTCGCAGCATAGCCATATTTGGAGACAGAGAGAGGGGAGCGCGAGGGAAAGTATGAAATTAGTATAACAAGAGTGATGGTGAAGGAAAGCGAAAGGGCGAGGAAAAGAGGTGAGAGTTCTGTCGATAAAAGGGGAGAGACGGAGAGTAATCACCTTCCAGCAATGAAGTGCCACGGCAGAGCAAAGGCGAAGGAGTAACCCTGCTTACCTTTGATCCTGCACTTCGAAGCCACAATCTTCGCCTATAGATTAGCCAAACTTACTTAAGCTTCCCTGCAGCTCTAGTGGGCATCGCTCTTTGCGACAGCACCTAAGTTAGCAGTACAGTTGTCGCGATCAAATTTTGCAGTGTGTCCCAGATAGTAAAATCTTATCATCGCTAACTGACGTTTGCTGAATTGCGTATCAAGTATTCTGCGCAGGTCGTTAAAAGGGACACTGAACAGCAAAATAACTTTTCGCATTGTAGTAAAGTAAGGTACAATCGGACCATCCTGAAAACAACACACATACCACGACACGACGCTTGGTAAGCTAGAAAACGCGTGAAAAGGAAATGCGGGCGGAGATGTCACCTTGAGATTGCCGCACCGAACACCATGACGTCATAAATTTCGAAGCTGTCTACCCACTCCTGCGTAGATTCTAATGGATAAAGAATAAATACATTGTCATCAGTGTGTGCCGTACACCTAGCTAGCATACGTTACTTCAGAAATTTTCATCGAGCCAATGTCACCAAACGGACATTTCGAAATTTGTGAAGTCACACGCGGAGATTTCGGCACAAAATTGCAAAACAAAGCTTTAACCCTAATTTTATCTGCTGATAATGCACCTATGATAGTGAAACATGGCAGTAGAGTTCTAACAGGGCCGTTTCTCATTAGAGGCCAATGCATTGTTTCTCTTTCGTATCCCTTGAATCGAAGGAGCTGATACGTGCCCCCCCCCCCCCCCCAGCTCAACCGTGAGCCCCCCGCGACTTACTGCGATCTGCGTTATTCTTCATTCTCCTCATGAATGGGCTTATAGCGCACGGGTTTCATTACGTTACAAGTGTAAAGCAACTTCTCACAGCCACATCTTTTCTCAGCTATGCAGGGTCCGGGTGTCGCAGTTGAGCTTCGCCTTCGGCATCGTGGCGTTCGACGTAGACTACGATGACGTCGGTAACGTGTGCAGCAAGTTGAACCGTTACGGCGCTTTCACGAGGCTTTTCTACTTGCAAGATTTGCTGGTGTACTTCGAGAACATATTCGACGTCTCGGGAGAACTGGAGGACTGCCTTAAATTGGCCGGATAAATAATGCAGGAGGCCCACCCCTGGCTTCTGAGCTGAACCTATGGATACTTCGGAAGATCAATAAATTTTCGCGGTCTTCTTGACATGTACGATCCTGTTACCAATTCAAGAATTCAATTTATTTTTATTTGTCCATATATCCGTGCATTTCTTAATTTTCTGAAATACTCTAAATGCCGAATAGCGTTGTACATTTATAAAGGCCAACTGCAACAAAAGTTTTCTGCGGAAACGGCCATAAATACGTAGTACATATTCTGTAAGCTACGATAACGACAACCACGTCTTCAATTTATATTTGGTGCTCTAATTGTCTGCAAGCAGATGACGCGGAGCTCTAGCGGTGTGCCCAGGCAAATTGTAGAGAACCGGATATGACGATTACTGCAGAACGTCGCCGCGTCGCTCCTTGTGAGCAATGTGCCGCTGAATCACTCTTTCTTGCGTGACGGCCGTCCGTGAGCGGTTGACTCGAAAAGTTTTGCAGTACGATTCTAACGCAATGCGTGGCCGCAGGCTGCTCGAGCACGTATGCCACGGCCGGGATCAGCTTGTTGTTGTTGTTGTTGTTGTTGTTGTGTTTGTTGTTGTTGTTGTTGTTGTTGTGTTAATAGAAGTAGCAGTAGTAGTAGTAGTTAGTCGTCTCCCATTTAGTCCTTCGATGTCCGCTCAATGGCGGTACTAGTATATAATGGATATATAATAAAGAGATGCTAGATGGCGGTACTTGGAGTATTCACTAGATGGACGGACGGACGAGTGGACATACGATTGGACAGACAGACAAGCAGACGGATGGATGGATGGACGTCTGGATGAACGGACGAACGAACGGACAGATTCACGGATGGATGGACGGACAAATACAGAGACTGACGCACGGACGGACGGAAACAAGAACGAATGGACGCACGAAAGTGCGGACGGACTCACTGATGATTCATCCCACTTATCATTCAGTCCGGGGATATGCTGTGATTTTTCCGAAAGGTGTAAAAATCCGGAAGCTGTTGACTATCGCAGTCAAGCGAAAGAATTGGGAGCCATCGAAGACAGCCGTGCTTTGCTCGGCGCACTGCAAAGATGACGGCTTCGTGCGCGACTGGTCCCTCTTTGTCCATATGCCGCTAAAGCTGATAAGAACGCTGAAGCAAGGCCTCCTCTAGAAAGATGCCTGCGACATCGCACTCTTTCCCATGGGGACGGGAGCATCCTTGTAGCTCAGTGCTTTCTTCGCAAGGAGCGCTCGCAGCCGACACTACTATTACCGCCCGATTTGGAAGTGACGCCATCACAGAGGCACGACCGTGTTGCCTCCGAGATGGCAAGAGACATTGCTTTATTCTCAGAGGCAGCAAGGTTTAAAGTGGCCGCCGCAGGAAGTGCTCGCAGCCGACAATGTTTGGGGGAGCGGAGGAGGAGAGAACAGGAGAGGGCCGGGAACCAGCTTTCCGGCTCAAATCGCAGGCATCTTTGTAGAAGAAACACTGGCGAAAGGCTGACGCAGTGCCTTCAGTACACTGCAATCCAAGGAGCTTGGTGTGCGAGGAAAACTCCCCTTGCCAGTCGGCAACTCGCTTGCTGGATTCCGTGCCGACCGGTTGTGCCCTCGCGATCTCCAGCGTCAGCGTATTTCTGGCCGACTGGGCTCGCCCTACGTCACCTCCTGACGCCGACGACCTTCGACGACAGTGTAGCTCTGACCGACTGGACTTGCTCTACGCCATCTACTGACGCCGACAAGAGCTCTCGCAAGTGGTGCCCCGTGATCGGACTCCTGTGACCGTGTTTCCATCTTTCCTATCTCTCCTATCTCCTCAGTTTGTTGTCGCTCCTTCTGGCTTACCACCTCACGTCTCTTCCTCTTTTCTACACCTTTACTCCTACCCCTTTTATCCCTCCTCACCCCCATCCCTCATGAGCTCCTGTTGAGGTGTCGCTCACTGAAGCAGACAGTTACGGGGCTCACTTTTCTCTTCCTTTCTTTCTTAAGAATCACCTTTTCTTGGTAGTCACTGAACGCCAACAGCTCACCATGCCCCTAGTACTATGGCTGCGGTAGCCGCCGCGTTACGGTGGGTACGGCTTCACTCGTGAGCGATAATTTCTACTCCAGCAATTTTTATTGCAATTTTGCTGGTGGGCGGCAAAATCCTGTCAAGAGACACTTCATACATAAGGTGGCCAATTTTTCTAACACAATATCTGCTCCATCTCTCAGGTGGTCCATTGTTACCTTATTCTCACCAGCGGCTTTGCCACTTTGCATTCCTTCTAGGGATTTATTCACTTCCCCTGCCGTTTCTGGTAGGATGTGGAATCCCTTTGGACTATTGTTTCTCACGATATCACCCTGGTTATTTTGGCTTCTGTACAGCTCTTTGTAGAACTCCTCCACCACCTCCACTATGCTATCGATATTGGTTATGACATAGCCTTCCTTGATCCTCAGTGCATACATCCAATTTTTCTCTGTGCACAAGTCTGCCTTCACAGCTTTTAGCCTCCTGTCGCTTTTTACAGCCTCCTCAATTTTTTCTATGCTATACTTTCTGATGTCGGCTACCTTACACTTATTGATTAAGTTCGAAAGCTCCACTAGCTCTATTTCGTCGGTTGCGTTTGAGAATTTCAGGGTATGTCGTCTTTTATAAAAATTGTTCGTCTTCTGAGATAATTTGCCAGTGTCCTGTCTAGTGACAGTACTTCTGTTGCACACTCTTTCATGATACTAGTAAAATTATCGTTCATTGTGTCAAGGCTAACGTCGGTTATCTCTTTTAGTGCCTCGAATGTATTCTGAAGTGAAACTCTGAATCTTTGAACTTTCTTTCTCACCACTACTTTACTGATTGGCTTCTTGCTTATCATTTTTTGTCTGCGTTTTAAAATTAAGGCGAATACGAACTCTTACCATTCTGTGGTCACTGCATATTATTTTGCCGAATATTTCGACATCCTGTACAATGCCTGGGTGTGCACACAGAATGAAGTGCATTACCTTTCTAGTTTTGCCATTAAGATTTTGCCACGTCCTCTTGGGGTTAGCCTATTCTCTCAAGAAAGTATTCAAGGTCCGGTAAATATTACGTTCTGCGAACTCTACTAATGACTCCACTCTGGCATTTCAAAGCTGATGACATATCCCTCACTGCATGGTCTCCGGCCTGTTTATTGCCTACCTTGGCAATAATGTCGCGCATCAGATTAGTATACTGTGTTTTTCCTACATTAATGACGGACTGTACGTCTTCACAGAAGCGCTCAACCAAATGATCATCATGTCTCAATTTAGGCACGCAGACCTGTACCACCTTCATCTTGCACGTTTCGATAAACCTAATTATGATACTTTCCACCTTCTCACTGATGCTATAGTATTCCTCTATGTTGCCAGCGATATTATTGTGTATAATGAACCGCACCCCTAGTTATGTTCTGTCAACGAATTCACGATAGCATAGGACGTGTCTGTTCTTCAGCACTGTATAAGCCTCACGTGTCATTCTAACTTCATTGAGCCATATTACATCCCATTTAAAATCCTCTAATTTATCGAATAGCAGTGCTGGACAATATATATCCTCCCTAGATAGCGTTCTAGCGTTGAAAGTAGCCAAGTACAGATTCCAATGGCGGCTTGTGCGAACCCAGGGGTTCCTAGCACCCTCCACTGCGTAATTGGTCTAACCACCACATTGGACAGTGGCTTCGCAGCCGGGTCGTAATTGGTGTATTACTAAGAGTTTGTGGCTAGGTACTGCACCAGGGTGGCCAAATCTGCTTGGAGGTGTGGGTGCGCATTACCAGCAGCTGGTGGCCAGTGAAGCCACACTCCAGACCTCCTTTATATAATAATAATAATAATAATAATAATAATAATAATAATAATAATAATAATAATAATAATAATAATAATAATAATAATAATAATAATAATAATAATAATAATAATAATAATAATAATAATAATAATAATAATAATAATAATAATAATATGCGGGGTTTACCGTCCCAACACCACCATATAGTTATAAAAGACGTTCTAGTGAAGGGCTGCGGTGGTTTCCTTTCCCCCACCTGTGGTTTTGTAACATGCACCCGAATCTGACGCATATGCCTACAGCCTTTTCGCAGCCATAAATATGTAGCCACCGCTGCCGGGATTCGATCCCGCTACCTGCGGGTCGGCATCCAAGTGCCTTTGTCTCTAGACCAATGCAGCGGGAAAAAGCGATAATTGTAACTGCCATAAACAATTTGTAATGAAATGAGCTAGAGTGACGTTATTCGGTTAGTCATTAAATAAGAGAGATAACTTTAAACAACCACAAAAACTGTGAGCAGCTCCACTTTAGGGGGGGGGGGGGGTGCGCTAGAGTTCATTATACACAATAATATCGCTGGCAACATAGAGGAATACTATAGCATCAGTGAGAAGGTGGAATGTATCGAGTCTTGGTCCCAGCTTCAAATATGAGAGACTTCTTTCAACTTTATTTTGAAATTTTGCACGTTGATTGAGAAATCTTTTGGCCTTCAATCTATGCAATTTTAGGTCACAGCACTATAGTTAGTACTTTGTATTTGAAAACTTACTTTCTTTAGATATGAAGCAAAATAAACGCAGCTTTTCTCGGAACTATGAGGCAGTTTCACCATTCCGTAGTCCCCCGGCTCGGTAGTAGGACGTGACGCCGACTACGGAGACTGGAGATGGCCTGTGAGTGGTGGCCGTCTAAGCGAAGATGATGAGTATAAGAGGAAAATTAAGAATGTTTATATTGATGAATCTTAGCTGATATGCATGACACAACATACTATGGTCACGACGGTTTATGAGTCAATGTTCTGCCGGTCTGACCTTCGTCTTCATAATTTTTGGTGGCCTGTTGTTCTGTGTGATGTTTTTGGAATACAATCACTACCAGGAGGAACGATTATTCTCATTGATGTGTCTTAGCCACGCATGACACATCTATCAAATTTATTATGCTGAT